AGATAGGCAACAAGGTCTTATTTTGGTTGAAACAGTTTCATGTAACTATGTTCTCTGCTAACAGCTTTTCTTGTTCATGGAACTCTCTTCCAGCTTCTCGTCATTTCAGTAGCAAAATGATTTTGAAGCTCAGTTGACTGGAAAGCAAGAAGTGCAATAGAAGAAACTTAAAATAAAACTTATGGTTACATCTAACCATTTTTAACTACAAAGTGATGAGATGTTGCCACCAATCCAGTACTGTGCTTAAATTTATAAAGTCTATGTACCAGAGGGGAAAGGTCATCAGAACAATTACCATGAAAGTATTTATAGAAAAGGTACAGGAAAGCTACATTGCAGCAGTAGGAAAGTGTTTGAAGCTGAGATGCCAGCCCAGGACCAATAACATTGCATATACTTCATTGTATTTTATCGAGGATCTCTAAATATATAACAGGAGCCCCAGACCATATGTTGCAGCAATATTCAAGGCATGGATGAATGGTAGACTAATATGTAAGATTGATTCAGGTGATAAAAATTGTCTAGCAAACTTGAATACCTTTTGGAAAGGTAAGAATGAACCTCTTCTCTCCCAAACTATGGATTAATTAGTAGGACTTGTATCATCAAATCATATCTCCCCAAAATTCTTAATACCTCAGTTTTTTTTTCTGGCTTGATAAGTTGTAAAAAAAACCAAAACAATCAGAATTCAGGGTGCAATGGATAAATTGTTGTCTAAATTACACAAAAATGGAAATAACACTGATATCTCAGATATATTTACCAAAATTATACGAAAATATCTTGAAATACTAAAGAGTCAATTTATTCAATAAAATCACCATTGGCTTCAATGGCAGGATAAACCTTTTGCTACAGTCACATAATGATAAAGCTTAAAAAGTGAAATCTGGCTGAAAACTTTTCAGCACCTCCCACTATATTGAGATTCTGTTTAATGCAAAGAAAGATTTGGATATATTTTGCATTTTTATATTATAATTAAAAAGCTCTCATGATGCTTGAAATGGGATGTTCAGTGTGACTATTATTATAGCACATACAAAAGACAAAGGATTTATGATTTTACTCTCATTCATATTTGCAATAAACTCTTGTGTGTACTCAAACATAACTTTTTATTTCCACACCTCTTGTTTTTGTACCCTGCTGCCTACACAATCAAGAACATGCCCTCAAACGATCATATACCTTTTGTATATTACTGGACACACCCAAGTCTTGGACATCATTCCCTTACTTGTTTATTTAGAATGTCACAAACTAAAGGATAAATTCATGATTACAAAAAACCATCTAGATATTTGTCACACCCATTTTTGGGTGAATGGTTGTCATGGTGATGAGTCATGAGTTAGTTCTGATTCAAATCTCGGCTTTAATAATAGTCACAGTAACTTTGAAAATTCATCCAAAAAAATTGATTGCAAAAGATTGTAAATGGCTAATTTTGTTTGGAGATATTGTCACTGTTCTGAATATTAACAATATTTCTGTTGATCTGTTTTTCACTCTCTTAGTTTTGCGGGGGGCCTAGTTAAGTTTTGCATTTTTATGGGGGCCTAGTTAAGTTTTGCATTTTTATGGGGGCCTAGTTAAGTTTTGCATTTTTATGGGGGCCTAGTTAAGTTTTGCATTTTTATGGGGGCCTAGTTAAGTTTTGCATTTTTATGGGGGCCTAGTTAAGTTTTGCATTTTATGAGGGACCTAGTTAAGTTTTGCATTTTTATGGGGCCTAGTTAAGTTTTGCATTTTTATGGGGCCTAGTTAAGTTTTGCATTTTTATGGGGCCTAGTTAAGTTTTGCATTTTTTTGGGGGGCCTAGTTAAGTTTTGCATTTTATGGGGGCCTAGTTAAGTTTTGCATTTTATATGGGGCCTAGTTAAGTTTTGCATTTTATGGGGGCCTAGTTAAGTTTTGCATTTTTTATGGGGGCCTGAGTTAAGTTTTGCATTTTTATGGGGCCTAGTTCATAATCTAATTATTGATATTTATTATTATAAATATAATTTCATAAATTCATGTTTCCCTACTGCATTCTTATAGCATTGTGGCCTGGCTGTGTTGGAAAAAGAAAAAAACTTTGTCTTTATTCAAATTTTCCTTTTACAGATGTTATTTATATCTGAATTTTATATAAACATTTTAATGGTATTGTCCTGATAAATTTTCCTCAGGTCTCAGTCTTTATGAATTTTAGCGCAATAATAGATTGGTGACAAGGTCTCATCAATTTACAGTTGAAATGGCCGCTAGATGTAACTGTAAATTTGTGGAATTCTCTTGCAGTTTCTAACCATCTCAACTGTAAAATGATGAGACCTAGCTGCCAGTCTAGTACTACACTTAAATTCATAGTCTAGGTACCATAGAGGAAAGTTAATCAGATCAATTATCATGAAAATATTTATAGAAAAGGCACAGGTTAAGTTATGCTACAGCAGTGGGACAATGGCTGAAGCTGGGATGCCAGGACAGGATCAATAACATTGCAGATTCTTTTTTCGGTAAAATAGGTTGGTTGTTTTTGTTTAGTGGCATATTAACACCTCTATGGGTTATTTAATATCAAAATCTAAATATTTTGTACACAATTTTATGGCTTCATGTCAATATTTTGTACATATGTTTTTCCTGAAAGTATAAAATTGTTTAGATATAGTTTGGAGATAAATGTATTGCTGGTAATTTTGCTACAAAAATGTATTACAGCAGGTCTTTTTTTTTTTTTTTTTCTCTCTTTAAAAAAAAAAATATTGCTGGCATTTCTACAATAATGTATTTTGTACTTTGTGAACCACCAAACAAAAATCAAAACACTATTTTCTCACAGCTGGGGCCCTATCAGGTGCTACCACCTTGGGTCAGGGTGAACCTAGGATATATATATATATATATATCTTGACAACAGGGTAATGTAAATTTTATAAAGATGTATAGGTTGACTGAAGGCAATGTGAGTTTTGTAAAGCCATATAGCTACATATTGAAAATCTACATATGTTGACTGAAGGTGACATGTTTCAAGAAGCCATAAAGGTAATAAGTGTGTGTGTATAGATGGCAATGTAAGTTGTAAAAAAACTTAAGTATGCTCAGAGTAGCAGAAATGATTTTTTTTTATATTTTATAAATTTTATAAATATCATATTTATAAATAAATATGATAATTATGGATAATATTTTTTTTTCTTATGTAGAAAAATAGATAAATTTAATTTTTTAAAATTTTTTTCTCACGAATGGCAACATAAAAAAAAACTGATTATTTGCATTTGAACTGATGTTCTAATCTTCATGACATGTTTTGGCTGTTGTGCCCTATGACCTCTCTCACATGGTTGACAATCTGGGTTACCTTCAGGAAATTTTGTACTGCGCCCTTTATTTAATCTACCTTGGTTGATTGTTCTTGCTCTGTTCTCCGTGTCAAGGGATATCTCATTCAGTTCTTTATTTAGAACTGATCAGTTATTGCTCGCTCTGTTTCTTCTGAGTTTGTACTACCCAGCTCAGGGACTGAACTCACAATTACTGTCACTACATTCATAAACTAATGCACTAAGGGTATAAAGAAAAAGAAAAAAGAAAGCTAGTTATTTGCTGTTTCTCTCTTACTCTCTATGCCGTCTCTCTCTTTTTCTCCCTCTATGCCGTCTCTCTCTTTTTCTCCTCTCCCTATGCGTCTCTCTCCTTTCCCTCTCGCCTCTCTTTTCTCCCTCCATGCCGCCTCTCTCTCTTTTTCTCCCCTTTCTCTCCTCCCCATGTCTCTCTCTTTCTCTCCTCTATTTCTCTCTTTTTCTCCCCTCTACACGCCTCTCTCTCCATCCCGCTTCCCTTTCTCCTTTTCTCCATGCCTCTCTTTCTCCCTCCATGCCGCCTCTCTCTTTCTCCCTCTATACCCTTTCTTACAAATTGGACTGTTGATGAACACTTAAGAATTGATTAGGCAAAAAGCTTGTGATAACAAAATCTGCAGCACAAATGAGTTCAATTCTCTCAATAAAATGTGCCAGTGTTAATGACTCTTCTCAAATTTATAGACAAGGATTGTAAATCTTTCCTACTCTAGGCTGACAAATCATAAAATCTGCCATATACTTAAGTGTAGCTATTTACTCATCTCCCTCGTTAAAAGCCAGGATTACTACCGAAAACTTGTCTGGAAATGCATGCTGGGAGAAACTTTCAAAGATCACTGATTCTATTTTTGTTGGAAACCAAAGTGCACTCTGGTCCAAATCATCTCAACTGTAGAAGAAACCTGGAAACAAATGGTGAAAATAACCACACTCTGTATGAATATTCCCTTGGTTGTCTCAGACAGCTTTTCACTGACTGGCCAGCTTCTGCTCCATGCCATTGTTCAATTCTCATTTGTATTAAGACAAACTAAACTGGGAAAGAATTGGTCTATGTTCAATAGAGAAAACTGAAGGTGATATATCGCATAGTAGAAAAGTCACTGATATGGTTGTCTGGAGATATTTCCTTGGTGAGAACGATGTCTGTTAGTTTTTATAAATGGGATTCTTGTAATCATAGCCAGAACTCTGTTGGGGTGGGGTTAAGTGACACTTGGTATATCTTTGCTGCTACTTCTGTCTTCTCTAATGACAGTCTTGCAGGCCAGATCTTCCCTATGGCAAGCGAGAACTTCATCTTGGTCTGACACTATATATCTTTTTACTCTCACTGACTGCAATCCTTTCCGACTATGCCTTTGACTCCTTTGATGAATGACTTTTGACTCTGCCTCTGATGTCATCATCTAGTATTGTAACAGTAATATTAACCGTTTCCTTATAAGGAAACATTCAGCATTCATTGACTGGGCAGTTTTCAATTTAAAATTAATAAAATCTTTCTCTTAAACAATTTTTCAGAAAAATAAGTTTCTCAAGTTCAGTAGCTGTTTCACTCTTGCCACTATTGATGGGTGAGGTGGGGGGTCTGTCCTAACTTTTTATTTGACGGCTTAGTAATATCATGTTGGAATACTGGTTCCCATACGATCACCAAAGTTAAGCAACATTGAACTTAGTCAGTACATGGATGGGTGACTGCTTGGGAATACCAAGTGCTGCAAGGTTGGATGTGTGGGTGGTGTAATGGATAATGGCTTGGAATTGTTAATTGAAGAGTAAAGTTCCAATTCCTGTTTGGCTTGTTGTATTCACTTACATGCAAATATCATTAGGAAAAGTATGTATCCACTTCTCCCCACCAGGTATGGGTTAATTAGTAAGACTTGTATCACTAGGCCATTAAAAAAAAAAAAAATGCTGGCAAAATATTTGGATTTGAGCATTAAATAACCTTAATAATAGAAGTGTTGATATATTTGATAAACAAAAACAACCAACAAACCAACCTACTTTTTTAATTGAATAGTGTGGAATGTGTACATTTTGATTATATCATCATTTTCTCTTAGTTACATGTGCTATTCATTTTAGTTGTTACTGCTGTTGGTAGTCCTCAAGTGATGTGGTTTCTGTCGTTTGGTAAAGATTCTTTGTTATCTAGTGCCAGTCCAAATGTTCAAAGGATGGACTTAACAAAATATTGATTTCATATATGCTCTTGTAAGATTTTACTGGACATAAATTAGGGGACCGGTTTTCTATAGTAATTAAGTAATAAACTGATCCCTCATAATTATTGCACATTCAGTTGATTTTGAATTCTGGTCGAATTCATTGCATTCACTTTTGCACAAATATCTTTGGCAAAAGTATGAATACACCTCTTCTCTAGCTATGGATTAGCATGACAACTGTGGTTGGCCACCAGTCCAGAGGGAAACCACTGCATTCAAAACTATAGCTCTGGTGAAGTGCATACTATGTAGGCAATGAAAGGATCATGGCTTTTACAATGACTCTATGATATGGTGTGCAATTGATGTGATAAAATTATTTTTTCTGATAATTCTAACACTTTAGCATTCAATCTGCCTAAACCCTGGCCATGAATATTGGCTCTTAATGTTTAACCTACCCCTTGTATACCCTGCTGTAATATATGACAACATCATCACAAATAACGTAGGAAGTCGTGCAAAAAGTAAGACTTTGACCACAAACTGTCCGACTTTGAGAGCTGATATTTACGGGGTTGGGTTAGGAGGTGTTGAATGCTAAAGGGTTAAAGTTACCTGAAAGATGGCAGATGATGGAAACAGAATAGTAAATATATTTTTCAGGTAAAATCATGGTGTAACATATAATTCTATTTTGAAAATTTTATCAAGTTTGTACAAATTTTTTCTTTCATTAAATAAAAAAAAAAAAAAAAAAATATTCATTTGTAACTGGTGTTGATCGCACTTAATTTTTAAGAAATGGTGGCTTATTAAATTTTTTTTTTTTTTTTTTTTTTGCTTATATTATTCTTCAGTATCCCACTAGAAATTCAAAAGTATTATAAATATACAGCACAAAAGTTTCAGCAAGGGACACAAGTTAACGAAAACAGTTCTTTATAAAATATCATTATAATAAAACATGAATAAAAATGGCTGGTTACTCATTTCAGAACTGGCTCCTGTTCTCTCTAAACTGTATAATAAATACCTCATTGCTTGTTGAAATCCTTGTCTGCTGTTCCAGTTTTTCAGAACTCTGGTGAACCTTCCGACCCTTCCAACTATCAGCCTATTAGCTTTCTACCTCTTTTTGGTAAACTATTACAAGCCCTAATCAATGCTGATTTGATTAAGCATCTCACATTGCAGGTCCTTCTTTCAAACGAGCAATATGGCTTTCATTTCTTTAGGTCAACTGCTGATGTATTGATGATTGTCACAGAAAAAGTCTAGCAAGCTTTAGATAAGAATGGTGAAGCTTGAGCTGTTGCTTGGACATCTTGAAAGAGTTTAGCATACAGGTCTTCTTCACAAATTGAAAAGTTGCAGTGTCTCCAGACAAATTTTTATACTGATCCAGTCTTTATCAAATCATAAAATGAAAGTTGTCCTGAATGACCACTCTTTTTGTACTAATGCAGGTGTCCCCAGGGATCTATCATTGACCCTACTTTGTTCTTAATTTTCATTAACAACGTTCCAATTGGCATCAGCTCTCAACTTGGTATCTGTGCTGATAGCACACCCATTTACTCCTGTCTTGATAGTAAGTCTGATCAGTCCAATAATGTCAAATTAGCAGTTGATGTTAAAAACAACCTTCATTGTTGTTGTTAACTGGAGCAAGGAATGGCTTGTTAATTTTAATGCCTCCAAAACAAAACTGCTCTCTATTAACCATTTGAGAGACCCCTTTCTGCCTTCTATCAGTATGGTTGGTGCTAACCTCCAGGAAGTAAAAAGAATTTATTAAATCCATTACAAGGTCATCTACTAAGAAAGTTGGTTCACTGTGTTCTTCTAAAGAATTTTTCTCTCCAGAATCTCTCGCATATCTATAAAGTTGTCCATGTTTAACTATTGTTGCCACTTATGCTCTGGTATACTTGTTACTTATTTAGAAATCCTTGATAAAATCCAAAGAAGAATCAGCAATATTATTGGTGTCTGGTCTTCAGTCCCTTTCTCACTGCCCTAAAGTTGCTTCTCTGTGTCTTTCCTATAAATACTTTCATGGTAATTGTTTGGACAAGCTCTTCATGGTGGTTGGCCCCCTTTTATTTCTGTCCCTATTTTTCGTTAAGTTTAATTCCCCATCCCCTCCCTCATTAGGTGGTCAGTAATGTCAGTTCGCTGGTGGATGCTGGGCACATTTTGTTTCATGTGTGTGTTTTTTCGCGTTTGTTGTTTGAATGAGTGCGTGTCCGTGTGAGTGCTTGGATAAATAAATATTTATATTATAGTCTCGCATTGATTTTGGTCAGTTAAATGATATTTCTGCCATATTTAGTAATTGTAGGGGTTTTATTACTATATTGTAAATACTCATTGGGGCTAGTTTTTAGAATTGTTGTTTTATCCCCCCGTCCCCAGACAATGATTTGTACCTATGGGGACTAGTTAGTATTTTTATAGAGACAATGAGGTATTATGGTAGATGTAGTAAGAAAGGTACATAAGAATGTGTTATTTTGGTGTAAGGAATATTGTTTGTATGATTGGGTCAGTGTTTGTGACTAGCTAACTTCTCATTAAGACAGAAGAAGACTGTCCTTTCCCCAACCCCCCCTTCGGCCTTGTGCCACATTTCTGTGTACATAATAAATATTGCTCTTCATGGTGGTACCTAGACTTTAAGAATTTAAGCGTAGTATGAGGATGTCCCCCCTAGAGCTTGAATGTATCATACTATATTCCACACTCAGTAATGCTTCATGTTTTAGTAGCTTTATTACCTTTGTTGGGGTGAACATGATTAAAAACTGATGTACCTGTTTTTAGGGTGGTTCAATAATTCCTGCTGCAGATATAGAAGGGATAGGTCTCTCTCTCTTTTACACACACCAACTGGATAAATCAATCCCCACATTGTGTTTCTCTTGTTTCTTTAAAAAGAATGTGGCACAAGGTTGAGTTTAAAATAGGAGACCTATGCATACATGGGACTGGGGGGGGAGGATCATTTCAGAAACATTTGGATTATTCTAGAGCAATAACTTTGGACTCATTAAATAGGTGTGTTGAACATTTTTAACCCTTTAGTAATGAACATGCCCAAACCCACCCCCGTAAATATCTGCTCTCAATATTCAACTCACCGTAACCCATCTCGTGTATACTTTGCCATGATATATGATGACGACCTCACAAATAATGTAGGAAGTCATGCAAACAGTGAGGCTTTGGCTACAAACACTTTGAGAGCCAGTATTTACGTAGCTGGTTTGAGCATGTTGAATGCTAAAGAGTTAAAGAATGCCACCTGATAATAGTAAGGACTTAACTAAACATCAGTCTCGTAGTTGCCATCATTTTTGACAGTATAAATAAATGTGTATTAAAATAAGATTGTACTGGACATAAAATAAGGGATAAGTTTTCTATAGCTATAAAGTAATAAACAAATCTCTCAAAATCACTTCATATTAACATTTGTGAAAAAATTGATACTTAATGTCATAGTTGCCATTATTTTTGATGATATAAGTAAAAATCAGATAATCCTCAGTTTTAGGGACCAAAGATTATTATAGGAAATTTTAGCATTTTTTTTTTTTTTTTTTTTTTTCAGTGAAAAACACATTGATTTGGAAATTCTGCAAAAATCAAATAATTGTTAGATTTTAGTGAAACTTTCACAACTTATTCACAAATGAGTAAAATTATTTTAGAAATGTTTCTTTTTTTTTTTTTTAAAAAAAAATAAAAATCATGGTAAAAATTTTTTTATTTTATTTTTTATTTATTCATTTTTTTTTTTACTTTTATTTCCCCTTCCACTTACTTAATTTTATGATATTTCAAGGAATTTTTTTTTTTATACCATTTTAATGTTATATGCAGAACTCCCTTAGAGAATTTAAATCATCAATTTTATTTTTTTTGTAAAAACAGGACCCCAGTTACTGAAAATCTGCTATGAATCATAAAAAAGAGAATGCAATAAAACTAAGACATTATTCATTAGAAAAGCTCTTAATATTATTCATATTATGGACATTGTCTTAATAAAAAAAAAAAACAATTTTCAATGAATAATGAATTTTTACAAGAATATTTTATTTTTCAAAAATTAAGTCTTTTCAAGTTTCTATATCAATTTGTACCACTTTGGTGATATTACTATTAAGTAAAAATTATATTTACTAATTATAAATGGAAAAGTTTACTACAGTTCAGCATCCCCAGCCATATTTTAAAAAGAATTTTACATTTATTTTGTGTGTATAAATGTGTTATTTTTTGTACATCTTACTTATTATAAAACTTTGTGTGTGTGTTCGTTTATATATGGGATCGGATTTCCTACATTTTTCAACCAATTTCAACAAAACTTCACAGGACTGCATAAAATTGCCTTGTGGTGGTTCTAACAGTGCCAAAAATTGGAAAAACACAAACGTTTTTGCATGAAATCAATTTGAAAACACGATAAAACACGATTCTGTCACCAGAATGAAAGGGGGACAACTCATATCGAGTTATACTTATAAAAACCCA